TTTAGTATACTTGAAACTGTATACTTGTTTTGTGTATTTAGATCTCATGTACCATACTTGAACTTATGTCTTTGGTTGTGTGTCTAAACCCTAATTAGTATACTTACGCATTGTATGTCTGATTTGTGCAATCGGACTTCATTATGTATACTTGTGTTGTGTATGCTTGTCTTATGCGTAATTCATTTAGCTTAGTATACCTGTGCCTGTATACTTAATTTATGAGTTTTCCATGTTAATTGTATGTTTGTATATGCATGCTTATCTAATACATAACTTGTTTAACATGATTTAGGGTACTTGAGCATGTATGCTTGTATGTCATGTATCATGTTTTAATACAGTTTAGTATACTTGAGCATGTATGCTTGTATGTCATTGTTCATTTCAATTGCATGAGTAGCTTAGGATAATCCCTGAGTCTCATCTTAACATAGACGTTAGGTGGCATGAGCCCCTTTAACATGTTTCACCTTAAGGTGATAAAATTGTAAAATGCTAAGTCGATGCATGCTCATCTCCTACGAGTAGCTTTGTGTTACTCACCCACGTAGTGGGGACATTTTGCAGGCACAGGGACCTTGACTTGGGATACACACTATGCCATGGAAGTTTCGTAGACTTGAAGTAACATTTTCATGAAAATGTTGGCATGAAATCCTATTTGTAACCATGTAAATCAAAATTTGTATTCTTTGATTCGTATATGTAAAGTATACATAAGTACGCTCATTTTAATGTATTTGATGTGTATAAGATGAGGCCGGAGGCCAATGACATGTATCATGTAATCTATGCACTTTTGCTTTTATGGTTTATTATGGAAATATTGTAAAATGCTAAGTCATTGTCTCATAACTTTTGTGTTGGGTGTGAGAATTTCATTCCGTTTCTTTCATAGGGTCTTTATGATCAAGCATGAGGTGTGGACAAGGGCCAAACATCATTTTGTTCTAGGTTTCACATTTTAGTTCCACTTATAGCATTTTAAGGCATTTTTGGCTGTAGAGAGGTTATATTTTGCATTTGGGTTGTTTTGACGCCGTGGACCATTAGGACGCGTCTTAAATGACTTTTTATATTTGCATGCATGTCCACATTTCACAAAAATCTTGAGTTTAAACTTTGGAACTATTTTTGGGGGATTTTATTAGTTTTTATGTAAAAACCTTGCATTGGGGTGTCAGTTGAGTTCCTTTTTGTTTTGGCGTGTGTTTAGATGTTTGAACTGGGTTAGGAAATGTTTTGAAACATATTTGGATCATGTAGGATGCATGTAGAACCCTAGAATTGGCCCAAGTACCATTTCCACACGTTGCAGCAGCTTTTCATAGCTGCAGCAGATGTGTCGGCCGGCTGGTGGAGCACCATCGGTTGACCGACGATTCTCGAGACTCTATTCCAGTAGGCTTTTTATTGAAAACCTTGTTTCGGCCGACTGATGATTGGGTTTTGGCTGACTGATGATTGGGTTTCGGCCGACCGACGGTTGAGTTTCGGTTGGCTGACCCTTGCCTTCGGTCGACCGATCCTCCCTGGGGCAATTCCTACATCTTTTCCTTGGACAACTTTGTTGTTCTAACTTTGAGGGATCATAACTCTTTCATTTCTTGTCCAAATTGGTTCATTCTTGAGCCTAACTTTGAGAGCATGAAGTTAGCTTTCCAATGGTACCAACCATTCATCAAAAATCCACCTATAGTGAGAGTTATTCCAGTTTTAGTGAGGTAGGTTCGTGGTAACTCTTAAACGAAAAAGGCCACTTCATTTTTATTTCACATCTTTTCCGTTCAGACTCAGAATCAGGCGATTCTTGAATTTAACCTTGTTTATTTTTTCGTTGTCTTTCCAATGGTGTGCACGGTGGTACCCATTTTAGTGTGGAATGACCATTGTACCCTTGGTTCATTTCTTTTAGGGTTAAGCATTCTTGCTTCATTTCTTGGCTCATTTGAGTTCCATAGCTTCATGAGGAGTCATTTTGGTGCCTTACGGATGACGTACATCTCTAGTGGCCATTTTGTTTCTTTTACTTCCATATTATGGATCTGTTTTGAGTCATCACAGGACACACTGGGTTTGTAAAAATCGAGGGTCGTCACATTGTCCCCAACAAAATCCCGAAGTTTCGTCAGATTCGGAGCGGTTTCATTTTGGTGGGGATTTGAGATTTCATCTCAAATTGAGGTAAGGGATGTCATAGGTTTATATTTGAGTTGTATTGATTGTTTTATAAATATATATAACTTGTGAGCATGCCTTTGTTCAAGTTTTAGAATTTAATTTAATTATTTTCTATGTTTAAGATTTAATTCTCATGATGGTATATGACTTAGAATTAAATTGTGGCATGCTAGTAAATTAGGCCTTGGTATGTTTATCAACATATATTAAATTGGGAGAATTTGAATTAGAATTGTAACTTTTATTTAATATTTATCTTTTATGAAAGATTAATTCACATAGTTGTAACAGGCATAAAATTAACTTGTAATGTGATATTAAAGTAGGCCTTAGTATGTTTTTTAACCTATGTTAATTTGAGAATGTTTGGAGTTGTTTGAAAATCTAGAAAAAATTAATTAATTAGCTTAATTAATTTTATTTTAAGTGTTTTAATCACTTAAATTGATATTTGATATAATATATGTGAAGACCGTGTTATGTCCTTTAACATATATTAAATTGAGGTTATTTGGAATTGATTTGAAATCTAGAGATTTTTCATGTTAGGTTAATAACCTCTTGAAACTTATTATGTTTAATTACCTTGTGAACATATTACTAATTAGATATAGAATTAGTATTTGCGGCATCTTAAAATGGTAATTTGACTTAGCATGATATAGGATATCATTATCTTGCAAAGCTTGTTTAAATATATCTTGTGTAGGTATATAGCTTGTTTAGAATATTACAATTGATTACTTTGAAATCTTGTTACTAAATTGTAGCTTATTTAGTACTTGTGACTTAAGATGGTAATTTGGTTCAATTGTCGTAAGATATTCTTGTTTTGTGTATAAATTGCATATTAAGAACTTGACATATCATATGCCATTTACACTTGAATTCTAGGACATGGTTTATGTGGATTCAACCTTACTTGTGCATGAAAGATGATTTTTATGCATTATATGGTTTTGTATAAGCTTGGTTTAACTTATTGAGTTTATATAAGTTTTGAACTTATTGATTTTTGGAAGCTTGTAAGGATTTGAAAAGGTGATGGCGAGGGTTTGGCTTTAGTATGGAGACAAGAGTTTTCTAAGTCATAAGTGTGCACTAGGTAGTACCTTGTGGGTCGTAATTACCCGAAATAACTTGTATGGCCTCGTGGCCAAATATCCTAGTCTTTCCACTATTTGATTTTGCATTTAATTTCAAGTTGTTAATCATGGATTACTTGTAGCTTGAGAATTGATGCTTACTTTGGGTATTTGAATCCTATTTAGTATACTTGAACTTGTATACTTGCTTAATGAGTTTTAATTTCATTTAGTATGCTTGTGCCATGTATACTTGTCTTATGTGTATTTTGTTTAGCTTAGTATACTTGTGTTTGTATACTTGATTACTCTATATATATATCAGATACTTGTGTATGTATGGTTGATATTGCTTATGTCGTTTAACATGATTTAGTATACTTGTAAATGTATGCTTGTATGTCATATATTGTGCTTCAACATTGTTTTGTATACTTGAGCATGTATACTTGTATGCTGTAATTCATTTCAATTGCATAAGTAGTTTAGGATGATTCCTGAGTCTCACTTTTGATATAGATGTTTGGTAGCATGATTCTTTTGAATTGCTTCATGTTAATGTAATAACTTTGTAGAAAGTTAGGTCGATGCATGCTCATCTCTTACGAGTAGCTTTATGTTACTCACCCCAAAGTTATCGGGGTCATTTTTCAGGTACAGGATTCCAGATTTGGGGATTTGCAATTGCCTTGGGTGATATGTATAATTGAAGTTCTTTTAAATGTATTCTTGTTCACATGCAAGTGTCAGCATGTTTATCCTCTCTTTTAAAGTTGTTGTGTAATGTTCGGTTTAACATATCATTTTTCAATTTCAGGTATGTAATGTGTGCCTAAGCACACCTTTTGACATCTATTTTATGTGTATGTATAACATGAGGCCAAGGGCCATTAATTTTAAAGTTCACAAGTATATTTTAAACTTGCTTCTGTTTTGTTATTCGGCAGTCAAAACACCTGACCATGTAAGTCCAAATGCTTGAACCTTTTGTTAGAATGGTTGACCATGTAGGTCAAAACGCCTGACCATGCAAGTCCGAACGCTTGAACCTTTTGTCAGTATGCCTGACCATGTAGGTTAGAACGCCTAACCTTGATGAGTACGGAACTAGTGCTCAGCCTTGATGAGTGCCAAATGAGCGCTCGGTGCTTTGGCGTTGGACAAGTGTTCGTCTATGCCTTAGAACCTTTCTTTCTTTTGCTTTGATCATCTTCTTCATCCGGACTTCGAATCAAGTGATTCTTAAGTCTAACTTCATTCATTTTTCATTATCTTTCTAATGGTGTGCACAGTGGCACCCATTTCAGTTTAGAATGACCATTAGCCCTTGGTCCATTCCTTGGAGGGTTTTGAAACCCGAACTTCAATCTTGTTTCCGTTGATACACACTGCACCTTTACAGTGTAGTGCTCTTCCTCTTGCCTTGGCAAGTTGGAATCTAAAACATAAATTATTGCATTGGGTAGTGACTCATTTACCCAATCCTTGAGGCTCAAATCTCCAGTAAATAAATCATCAATGGGTTTTCTTCTTGTAAATGTTTCCATCAACATAATACCATAACTGTAAACATCACACATTGTTGATACTAATCCTTCCGATCCATATTCTGCATCCAAAATAATAATTAATTAAATGAGTTGACGTGTCGTGATGAAATTGAAATTTTGTTATGAGAAAAAGAATGCAAGAACTAACATTTGAACAAAAATTGAAAACTAAAAGCTTCACCTGGTGCAATATACCCAATTGTGGCTAGAGTTTTGGTTAGTGCTTTGCTATCCTCCTCTTCTAAGAACTTTGCCATACCAAAGTCACTCACATGTGCAACTATATCTTTATCTAGGAGAACATTGCTATGTTTGAGATCACAGTGAACCACAGGTGTTGAGTAGTCATGGTGGAGATATTTCAATGCACACGCGACATCTATCATTATGTCTAATCTCTGTAAGATATCCAACAAGTAATTGTGTGAATACAACAACTTCTCAAAACTCCCATTAGGCATGTAGTCGAGTATCAAGGCCTTGAAATCAAGGTTAGAGCAACTACTAATGACTCTGGTGAGATTCCGGTGATGAATATTACGCAATATTTCGCATTCTGTCTCGAAACTCTTAAAATCGGTTTCTTGTTGTAGATTGAATACCTTTGTAGCCAAAACCGTCCCATTTGTTAGTTTGCCTCTGTAAACCGAACCAAAACTCCCCATTCCAAGTAAATTACTTCACTAAACCCATCTGCTGCTCGGACAAGTTCATGGTATGTAATTCTATCATGTATAGGTATCAATTCAGCTTGAGTTGGAATTTTATTCTTCCTCCATCGACTTCTTAGGCACAAAAATATAATTGTTAAGGCAACAAATATTGAGCCCTCACTGGAGGGGCTATGTCTAGTCAGCGTGAAACCGATCAACGAGAATAGCTAAACTCAATTTGGGAAAAAAAAATGGCAAAATAAAAAATTTATAGTGGAACAAAAGTTCAAAACACAACTTGCGAAAGTTTCCCGAGTATAGGGGTCGTACCTCTCAGGTTATTATCTCGAAGATGAATAACTTTCAAAGAAGTAATGTTAAATATGGAAGATGGAATGAGACCATTGAGATGAGCACTTGCCATTGATAATCTCTCCAAATTAAGAAGATTACCAATGTCTTGCGGAATTTCACCTGCAAAAGAATTTCATAACAATTACCACCAATTCTAAGCAGTCTAAGCCTTTAATTATTAATAATCATATATTATAATTTTCATACAATCAACTAGGGAAAAATAAAATTATTCATACAAATCATATTTTCTTAAGCAAATATGATTGTATGAATTGATAAAATAAAACAAAATAAAAAATTAAAGGTAGTATGTGTAACAGAACCTTCCAGGTTGTTATTGCCAATATATAAATTCTTAAGCACTGTTGAATTCTGAATCCCTGTAGGAATGGGTCCACTAAACCTGTTAAATGAGCGACAAATCTTGAAGTTCTGAGCACTCGAATAAACTTGATGGAATTTGACCATATAACTGGTTCTGGGATAGATAAAGCCCTTGGAGGTTTGGAAGACGATGGCACAAATCCATTGGAAGATTACCAGATATGCCACTGTCCGTAAAGCAAATAATTTTCAGTGACGAGATGTTGAAGATGGTGAGTGGTAAAGAACCTGTGAGCTCGCTATACTACATATCTAGAATCTCTAGCTTTGACATGTTGGACAAGGAAGGTGGGACAATACCTATAAAACTATTGTTACCAAGATATAACTGTTTCAGTTCAGTTAAAGCACCAAAACTTGATGAAAGCTCTCCACTAAATTTGTTAAACCTCAAATCCATGAAATTCAATCGACGCAGATGAGCTAACTCATCGGGCAGATGAGCATTGAAATTATTTTTACTAAGGTTGAGTGAAATAAAAGAAGACAGGTTACCTAGGTGTGGATGAATTGTACCTTCAAAAGCTATATTAGATAAATCTAAGGATGTCACTCGTAGGTGGCAAGTGCCGCAAGTGACTCCAAGCCAGTTACAAGTGGAGGTTGCTGTGGACCAGTTGTTAGCCAAGACACCATTAGGATCAAAATGTCGGGAAACGTACATGTTTTAAAAAACTTTCTGAGAGATTTTCATACATAAATCTTGATTCATTACATAGAGACAAGTTTTATGGAAAAATAAAATATGATATATCATTCAATTAATAAATTGAATACTTACATCAAAGGTTTGAGTAAACCTTAAATCTTTCCTCTAAAGTAAATGTTTCCATTTATTACAGATCCCTTTGCTCGATGCCTTCTCCTTAGATCTCCATCTTCTTGATAGTGATCTTACTTTTAAGAATTACTTATAAGCCTCCATGAATGACTTTAGAAAACTAGGCTTGTGGGAGCCTCCATTAGATGAGAAAGCAAACCCTAAAATCTTAAGAGTGAAACAATATATTCCTTTTTTTCTTTTTCCAAAAGTCTCTCCTAAAATATACATGGACCCATGTATATATAGGCAAAATAAAGATAAGGAAAGTAAACAATAAATCTTTCTCAATCTCTAATTCACATATCTCAAATCTAATAGGATTCCAATATAAAGTTGGGCTATGAATGAGAATCTTTGGGCTTATTATTTTGTTGGCTACGATGAATTAATAATTGGCCCGGTCCATGGACCCAATTAAATTAATTCATTAATTAATTTCTACTCCACTAAAAAAATTAATTGAACTCCAATTAAATAATAAATAAGTTCTAAGTCAATGTTGCACTTTGACTCCTCTATACATAATTAGTTATCAGATAAATAAAGCCATCAATCCGACTACTTAATTAATATATTTATTTTGGTACCTTTGATTATTTCTGGCTTGATCACAATAAAACATTTGTTTGACAAAAATAATAATTTAAATAAATAAATATATAATAAATCATTTTGTTTAAAACATACGAAGGATTTCGAATTTACTTTGTGATCAACCATAATCAATACAAAATAAATACAAGTAGCAATGATACAAATATTGAAAATATAACCCTCTAACTATTAATTACATAATTACCCAAAGTGCCGGTCTAAGGATTCCGAAGATTTCGCCGAACAAATCAAAGTAATTACTAATTAATAAAATAGTCTATACTTCTCTCATGCTTAAGAGTCAAATGCCATGACGGTGATAGGGAGCAATTGCATATGATGGCTCTCGCAATATATCTGAAGCTACCGTGGATCTAGTTCAAGTCTTAGTTAATAATGAGTTCATTCATCATTACCGACTATGAAGCCATCACATACATATATAAATATCTCTTGTAATCAAATGGACACTATCAATTCTATAATGAATTGAAACATAATACATTGAATTCACTAATTATATAAATCATAAATATTTCAGATATGTCAGGAACATATGTCACTATAATCCAAAAAGGAATTTGCTATGCCAGGGTATATAAATCCCAATAGCTCCCACTTACCCTCATAGCGAATTCAAATTGCATTTAACTCCAATGTTAACTAGGTGTTGATCAAACTATTGATCGATGACACCTTTGTAAATGGATCAATAAAGTTGTATTCCAATACAATATCCTAGTCATGAGTACATTTTATTGCTGGACAATATCATGCAAGATATGATAGTTCCTTTCAATGTACCTTGTTCCTCTATGGAACCTTGGGTCATTGATTTGGACTACTTCTACACCATTGTCGCAATGTAGCTCAATAAGCAGGTTAGTATGCTCCACAACCTCTGAATCAGTGAGATCAAACTAAAAGGCTTCCTTTGCCGCCTTTAAGGCTACAATGTACTCCACCTGCAGGTTTGAGTCAGTAGTTAAAATCTGCTTAACAATCTACGAACTGATTTCCCTTCCATTGAGTGAGCATACACCAAGTCATGAACCTTAAAGTATCTACATCTGATTAAAAATCAAAACTAGCATACCTGACTAGGACCACATCATCACATCCATAAATGAGTATGAGATCATTGGTTCTCCTAAGGTACTTTATGATATTTTTTCACAACAGACCAGTTATTAAGTTTGGGATTGGACTGATATCTACTGACTATCCCTACAATGTAGCGGATGTCTTATTTGGTATAGACCATGGCATTTATGAGACCCCCACGTGCCGAAACATATTATTCCAGTCTCATTTGCTCAGTCTCCTCTGCTAGTCTTGGATAATTACTTAATAGAGAGAACAGACCATATCAATAAAATAAAAACTCATTCTTTGAGTTTTGCATACCAAACCTGGTCAAAACTTTATTAATGTAGGTTTGTTAAGATAAGTCTAGTTTCCTTTTAACCCGATCTTAAAAAAGCTTAATCCTATAGCTTATATTTTTAAAGATCCTTCATTCCAAAGTAATTGAACAACTACCTCTTTAATGATGACAAAGCTTGCACGTCATTATAAATGAGTAGGATGTCCACAATATATAGAATTCGAAAAATAATGACATTATCCTATACACATATGGTTCATTCACTAAGAAATCTTCTGGTATCCTTTTATAGATTAACTTGCCTTCCATAGGTATCACCTTACTAGAAAGTTCTACAAGATCCCAGATTTTATTAGAATACATAGATTCCAACTCTGATTCCATAACAACTTGCCAAAACGATCTATATCCATATCGGTTCACGCTTTCGTGTAGCTTATTGAGTCCAACTTATGTTTAACAGGGATGTCCATAAAGGTCTCACCTAAAAACATGATTCTGTCAGATTAGATGATAATCGTCCCACTACAACAATGTACTGATACAGGAATCTGTGTACAAGATGATGCTGACGCATCCATTAGGAATTCATATATAAGTCTTAATCTCTATAATAAGTGTGTTCATTTGTGGTACATCTGGTACTAATACCATATTCTCAAACATTATGCTACTAGGTATATGATTCATAATATGATCCTCCTATAGATAAACAATGAGTGTAAATAATTAACTTTTATCACTGAGATCATAAAATAATCCATCCTAGTGCCTTTAGAGTAGCTATCAAATCTATCATGCATATGATTTGCTTCCAACTTACTTGTCCATATCAAGCGCACATGTACAAGACTACCCTATATGTGCATGTGATTTAAACTAAGATTTAGTCAAAAAGACAGCTCAAAATATATCCTTAAAATAGACTAAGATGAAATACAGTTCATAATGTGCATCGATATCATTAAAGCTAATCTCTAAAATGAAAGAGATAATGTAGCATATCAAATCATAGATCTAACCGTGTTAAGTAGAATTTTGTTATTTTTATTTGACACCTCAATTCATTGAGCGTCAATTGCGGGAAAAACTGGTACGCAACACCCTCATTGACCATATAGTCTTTGCACTATCCCAAGAAATACTCATATTCACGATCAGATCGAAATGTTTTGATAAGTTTACCTAATCTGTGCTCCACATCAGTCTTGATACTTTCGGAATATACCAAAAGTTTAAGACTTGTGTCACATTAGGTAAATTTATCCAAAACGTGAGTAATCTTGCTTAGATGTTCATAAGACCGCACGTATCAGTGTGTACCGACTCCAATTGTTCTTTATATCTATTTCATTTGGCTGATGAAAGATCTTAAGGTTATCTATCATTCAAAATAGGATTCACAAGTTTGTTTTAGGCTCCCCTGCCTTACTAGGTTATAAACTTTCTTTGACCAATTTTTAAATC